TTCAAGGTACTTTGAACCTTGAAGTTTGTGTAGTCGCGCGCTTTAAAGCCCGTAGCTATAATAGTTATCAAGAGGGTGTCAAACATGTGTATTTGTCATGTTTGTATAGACTGTATAGGGTCACCTCGTAGAGGGTACAACACTTAGGTATATCTGTGTGTACTCTCACTCTACCATTCATTCACTTCTCTAATTCTGATATGGTATCACGCGTAGGTTAGGATCCCCCCCCCCACCTACCGCTTCCGCTCGCCCCTCCTAGCTCGGCCCCGCCATGCCTCCCTCCTTGCCCCGTCGTGCCCCTAGCCCCGTCGCGACCCCCCTAGCCCCGTCGCGCCCTTCCTGGGCCCCGTCGCGCCCCTCCTGGGCCCCGTAGCGCCCCTCCTGGGCCCCGTAGCGCCCCTCCTGGGCCCCGTCGCGCCCCTCCTAGGCCCCGTAGCGCCCCTCCTGGGCCTCGTCACACCCCTCCTGGGCTCCGTAGCGCCCCTCCTGGGCCCCGTCGCGCCCCTCCTGGGCCCCGTAGCGCCCCTCCTGGGCCCCGTCGTACCCCTCCTGGGCCCTGTAGCGCCCCCCCTGGGCCCCGTCGCGCCCCCCCCTGGGCCCCTCCTGGGCCCCGTAATGCCCCTCCTGGGCCCCGTAGCGCCCCTCCTGGGTTCCGTCGCGCCCCTCCTGGGCCCCGTAGTGCCCCTCCTGGGCCCCATCGCGCCCCTCCTGGGCCCCTCCTGGGCCCTGTAGTGCCCCGCCTGAGCCCTGTACCGCCCTTCCTGGGCCCCATAACGCCCCTCCTGGGCCGCGTCGAGCCCCCTCCTGGGCCCCGTCACGCCTTCTGGCCCCGTCGCACCCGCCCGGCCCCGTCGCACCAGCCCGGCCCCGTCGCGCCCGCCCGGCCCCGTCGCACCCGCCCGGCCCCGTCGCCCCCTGCCCGGCCCCGTCTCAGCCGCCCGGCCCCGTCGCACCCGTCCGGCCCCGTCGCGCCTACCCAGCCCCGGTGCGCCCCTCCTTGGCCCCGTCGTGCCCCTCCTGGGCCACCGTCCCGCTCGCCCGACCCCGTCGCACTGGCCCGGCCCCGTCCCACCGCCCGGCCCCGTCGCACCAGCCCGGCCCCGCCGCACCCGCCCGGCCCCGTCGCACCAGCCCGGCCCCGTCGCGCCCGCCCGGTCCCGTCGCACCCGCCCGGCCCCGTTGCACCGGCCCGGCCCCTGCGCTCGTCCCTGCCCCGGCCCCGGTCCTCCTCACTGGTACGGTTCTCTCCCCCCCCCCCCGCCCTGCACTGCCCTGCACCGTACTGCCCCGCACTGCACCGCCCCGCACCACACTGTACTGCCTTGCACCGCACTGCACCGCACTGTACCGCATGGCACCGCACTCCACCTTGCTGCACTGCCCTGCACCGCACTGCACTGTTCCTGATGGCGGCGGAGCTTCGCTTCGACGCTGAAGGCCAGCCTCTGGAGTTCGAGGCGTGGCTTGCCGACCTCCGCCGCCAACTCACTGGCCAGCGGCAGGGGCCCCGCCCCCGTCCCTGGGCCGCGTCGAGAGCGCTACTTCCTTGTGCTTGTCGACGACTTCACTCGTTACACCACAGTCTTTCCTCCTCCGTCCTCCCTTGTTGTTGCACCCCCCCCGCTGTCTGACTACCTTCGTGCCGCTCGTCCCCTTGTTCCTCGGGTCCTTGCCTCTCTCGTTACCGACCCGTCTGTTCCGGTCTCGTGCCTTGACGCTCTTGTCGCTGCTGTCGCTGACTTCGCCTCTACCCGCCGCCTTGACTACGCCACCGCTCTGGTCTCTGACCCTGCCTGTCCTCCGTCTGTCGAGGGTGCTCCTGCCCTTGGCAGTGACGTCCTGGAGGACCGCCAGTTCGAGCTTGCTTTCCTCTCGGAGGCTGCTCCCCATCTCTGTTCCATGCTGCTAGTCCCTGAGGGTGACCCAGACGCTTTCGACATCCCGACCCCTCGCACTTACGCTGAGGCGACCTCGGGACCCTGGGCCTCGCAGTGGATAGCTGCCATGGAGCAGGAGATGGCATCTTGGAGATCCACTGGCACCTTCGTCGACGCAGTTCCCCCGGCTGGGGTGAACGTAGTCGATGGCCGCTGGCTCTTCAAGGTGAAGCGCCCTCCTGGAGAGCCGCCTGTGTTCAAGGCGCGCTATGTGGCTAGAGGCTTCAGTCAGCGCGAGGGGGTGGACTTCTTCCAGACCTTCGCTCCGACCCCGAAGATGACTGCTCTTCGGGTTCTGTTACACCTAGCTGCTCAGCGTGACTACGAGCTTCACTCCCTCGACTTCTCCACTGCCTTCCTTCAGGGCAGCCTACACAAGCAGGTCTACTTGCGTCGCCCTCAGGGCTTTACTGGCACCTTCCCTCCTGGGACCCAGTGGCTCCTGCGGCGCCCCGTCTACGGCCTGCTCCAGGCTCCGCGTGAGTGGCACGACACTCTCCGTGCAACGCTTGCTGACCTGCAGTTCTTTCCGTCTTCCGCAGACCCTTCACTCTTCGTTCGTGCTGGCCAGACTCCGTTCTACATCCTTGTTTACGTCGACGACCTGGTCTTTGCCACAGCAGACAGGGACACACTGGCCTGCAGAGCTGCTGAAGAGACACACGTGCACTGACCTTGGAGAACTGCGCCGCTACCTTGGCTTGCAGATCTCCAGGGACAGAGCATCGCGCACCATCACCCTGACTCAGTCACACTTGGTGCGCCAGGTCCTTCAGAGATTCAGCCTTCAGTTCTCCTCTGCACAGCCCACCCCTCTGCCTGTAGACCACAGACTCTCCGCTCCAGTGTCTGAGGAGTTGGTAGAGCCCAGCGGCCCCTACGCAGAGCTGGTGGGTTGCCTCATGTACCTGATGACTTGCACTCGCCCAGATCTCGCATACCCTCTCAGCATCCTGGCTCGCTTTGTGGCCACAGGCAGACACCGACCGCAGCACAGGTCTGCCGCTAAGAGGGTTCTGCGTTATCTTGCTAGTACATCGGGCATGGGGTTAGTGCTAGGAGGACGCAGGCCAGTGGTCCTTACTGGACACACAGACGCTTCGTGGGCAGACGACGCCGAGACACTCAGATCTACCCAGGGCTACTGCTTCAGCCTTGGCTCAGGTGCCGTCTCGTGGAGAGCTACCCGCTCCTCGTCTGTTGCGCAGTCCAGCTGTGAGGCCGAGATCTACGCTGGTACCATGGCGGCACAGGAGCTCCGCTGGCTGACCTTCTTGCTCACTGACTTAGGTGAGCGGCCTAGCTCTGCCCCGGTCCTGTTCGCTGACAACAGGGCCATGATCCTCTTGTGTCAGGAGCCTCGACTCGAGGGCAGAGCGAAGCACATTCAGCTGCGGTACTTCCTCCTGCGTGAGCTACAGCAGCGACGTCAGGCTCGCGTAGTACACTTGGCCTCAGGTGCCAACACGGCTGATATCTTTACGAAGGCGCTTGCGCCTAAAGATCATCAGCGGCACTGTGTACAGCTTGGTCTAGTTCCTGTAGCCTCTCACTTGCTAGGACCTTGACTTTGTACTGTCCTTTATATGTATACTCAGACTGGACTTGTGTCCTCTCCCAGTGGCTGGACTTGTAGTGCCGCCCTGCTCTTGTTCTTGCCTTGTCTGTACCCCTTCTGACTGGTCTCTCAGACCCTTGTCTCAGAGGTTGGACTAGTAGTGCCGCCCTGAGCTGCTTATTTAGGACATTCCCCTATGCAGTCTAGGGGGTGTGTCAAACATGTGTATTTGTCATGTTTGTATAGATTGTATAGGGTCACCTCGTAGAGGGTACAACACTTAGGTATATCTGTGTGTACTCTCACTCTACCATTCATTCACTTCTCTAATTCTGATAGAGGGCTGTTTAATTTGCTCTTGAACTTGGTACATGACTTGATCTTTAGAGTAAACGAAACAGAAAAGAAACATTTCGTTTTGCAAAGCGGAATCTGACCGTGGTGGTTTGGCGACAGTTTTTGCACGAAACCATTCGGTGAACAGTGCAATACGCGTCGTGCGACCGAATTCGTGGTTCCTTGAACAGTGAAATTGCGAGAAGAACAGTGTTTTTTTGGCGAACAGTAGCTGATTCTGGAATTGCAGACCTGGAAATCACTTGAATTCCCCTATCATAAAGCGCCTGTATTTCCTCGTCGCAAGCTGCTCGCCCAAACCCGTCGTAGAAACTCCGTGCGATGCACACAGTGTTTTTGCGCAATTCGCATCCAAATGATCGTGTCGCAACAAACAGCAAAACAAATTCTTTCGCCATTCCTCCAATCAGCAAGCTCGACCAGAATTTGTTTTGACGCACTTTTCTTGTTCATGCTTGAACTCAGAGCTGCCTTCCATTCTATACTTAGACGGATTTCAAAGCATCAAATTCAAGTGGTTTCCAGGTCTGCTATTTTAGCCGCGGGCTTTAAGCATCCTTCCAACATGGACCCTCTGTCATTTTTGGAACTTTAAAACTTTGCTTGCTCTATCCGGATATATTGTGAGCAGTTGTTTCATAATGGGCATTACAGGATGAGTCGGTTCATGATGTTACTGCGGATGTTTGCCATTGGCTGCAACTCTCTTGACATCGACCTGCGCGATGTCTCGTGCAGTTTCGAGAGGTTTGGCGCGGTGTCAGGCAATGGTATCACGTCGCAGACGGGTCACTGTAACTATCGCGTGACGATTTTCGCTGACTCGTTCTTGTGTCGCAAGCCATTTACCACGTCCTCGTGTGTGGGCGGCTTTGGTTGGGTCGACAGCAAGTCGGTGGGCTGACACGACTCTTTCCCCGAAAAGACTCCATCCGTGACACGGCGCAGTGTATCAGCTTGCGCGTGTCAGCGACACATTGGCTGTCACTCCCAGGGGTGACTCCGATCCAGCATGACAGGCCCTTTCTGTTTGTCCCTCACGAAATTGGCTTTTCAAAACAGGGGTTTGCCGCCAGCCCCCATGTTCCCTCGCGCTATTTGGAGCTACTTTTTCTCTCGAGCTGCTTATTCCTTACGTGGCACGTATTTCTGTTACTGATAATAGTATGCGTTCCTGGCATTGCGTAGGTAGAGATATTATCTCTCTGGGTCAGCCCACCCCGTTGCGCGTTGACAGAATCTCCACTTTACGCGTGGCAACGCAATCACAGCTCATCAAAACGCTGTTACATCTTATCAGGAGCCAATCACATCCGTCTCTGTTCCGCAACAGGTCCTTCCCTGAGCCATGGCTCCCACAGGTTTAGCAGCTATTAATGGACTAAGACTGCCCGTCGAAAGCGATCAGACGGCGGCGACAGCGAGAACGGACCCGCCGTTCGTCCGGTGGATGAAGGAGCAGAGCTTGGACGGCGACCGGATGTCGATTCTAGAGTCGAGTCAGATTCATGGTCGACGTCAAAGCGTGGACGGCGATCCGATGGCGATTTTAGAGTCGAGCCAACAGACGTTGATCGTGAGAACGGACCCCCCGTTCGTCCGCTGGATGAAGGAGCAGCAGGCTGCTGACGTCACCCGTGGGCGCGATGCGAGAATGGATGACGCCGACGAAGGCGGAAACGATGACGTGTCGGATTCCGACGAGTACTACACTGGGCGGCTAGAAACGGCCGGGCGGCCAGAGGCGGCTCAAACGGAGCGACTCGAACGAGAGGCAGAAGCGGGTCGAGAGGGGGACGCGGCAGGTGTAGATGCCGGCGAATCGGACGGCGAGGATTCGGAGGCGGATGCGGAGGCGGATCGTCGATTGAGGGTTCACACGCGGAATTGCAGGTGGAGCGACACGGAAATGTTGGAGTTAGCCGCCGCGGTGCTCTACTGCCGGGATAGCGGCGCGGTGACTCGGCGCGCCTGCGCCAAGGGCAGCGGGTATTGGGGGCAGGTGCGGCGGGTGATGCGGCGGGGGAACCCCGCGTGGGCGCGCCTGCCGTCGGCGATGGCGCAGCAGTGGAAGCGGATGAAAGCGAGATACGACGACGATCAGCAGGGGAGAGATGCGGAGAAGGGGATGAGAGGGAAAGAGATGAGAGGGGAAGATCAGCAGATAAGGGATGAGGGTGAGCAACGGCAGAGAGGGTCTAATAACGCGGATGAGCTGGTTTCTGGTAACGCGTCGGCAGGGAAGGAAAGGAGGATGGCAGGGGGAAAGATGGGGGGGAATTCAGAGTGGTATGAGTACGTGCAACTCTATTACGCGACGGGGGGGAAGTTGAGGACTGGCACAGCCGCTACAACCGGCAGAGCCGCTACAGCCGGTAGAGCCGATACAGCCGGTAGAGCCGCTACAGCCGCGCCGGGTGCTACAGCAGCAGCTGCCGCAGCAGGGAGACCTTGCGAGATGCCACCATTCGCGTTTCCCGAAAGCGTCACCCCCCCAACGTGGCCAGACGCAGCCGCTACAGCCGCTGCAGCTGCCATAACCACGGCAGCTGCTACAGCTGCCAGCAGTCTTCTACCCTTGCCTGCTCCTGCTCTGTCATCGGTCTCTCCGTTTGCAACCAGCGGATCCGACAAATATCTGCTTTCCCTGCAAAACAGTGTTACTCCTGTTACCAGTGCTACAGTTGCTGAGCTGACAGCTCCTCAGCCAACAATTTATCAGCCTACCGTACACAGGGTGAGGGGGATCGCACCTGGTGGGTTGACAGCAGGGAAGGAGCAGAAGGGGCGGAAGGAGCGGAGATCAGGAAGGGGAGGGGTGGAGAGGATAGCAGGAGGCGCTAGGGTGTTAACAGGGGGTGCTAGTTTGCTAACAGGAGGTGCTCGGTCGCGAACAGGAGTGTTCAGTTCAGCTGCTTTGGGTGAGAGGGTGAGTGCTGCCCTGGGCGCTGTTGTGAGAAACGCGTGCCTGCAGTTTGAGGAGCTGAGTCAAGAGCTGCTGGAGAATGCGTGCGCTCAGTTTGAGGAGCTTTCTAGGGAATTGGCGGATGAGGCTGCTGCTCAGATAGAGGAGATTCTAGCAGAGGCTGGGATGGCTGGCCCGGGTGGCAAGAGGCGGAGGAGGTAGTGGTGATTCGGTGGAATTTGGGGGCCTTGCGCGTGGGAATGAGCGGATGAAGCTGTTGTGAACTGAACTAGCAAGAAAGGAGAAGGCCGCCATGAAATGGCGGCCGAGGTTTAGCTAGGGAGATTGACGAGAGAGAAGATAGTCGATTAGGAAGAGAGAGGGGTACAAGGAGGGGATTGTACCCTCTACAGTAAGGTTCAGTAACAACTACCAAGCCTATCAATTATATATAACTTCAATAATTTGAACACACCCCCTAGGCTTGGTAGTCACACACCCACCCAACACACCCCCTAACCCTGCACACCCTCAAGCTCGTGCTAAGTCGGGTATCTGACCCTCGTGCTAAGCGTTGACACCCCCGGGCGAGAGGCAGCCTACGGCGTCTGGGCGGCTCAGCGACAAGCAGCGGCGGAGCTCTTGCTCAAGGCGGCTGTGTCGCTGACGGCAGGCGGCGACTGCCGCGGCTGAGGGCTCTCGGCGGTGTGGCAACGTCCGGGCAGAAGACAGCAGCTGCGACAGGAGGAAGGGAAGACGCAGGGGGAAGGGAGAATGGGGGGGGGGGGGGGGGGCGGGGCGAGTCTTCAGCGACGCGCCATAAATGGCGCGGCGCTTACTGGCGGGAGGACGGCGTCCTGAGTGACGCCTGTCAAACATGTCTATTTGTTATGCTTGTATAGACTGTATAGGGTAGCCTCTTAGAGGGTACAACACTTAGCTATATTGTGTGTACTCTCTCTCTATCACCATCACTTGAATTTATGATATGGTATCACGCGTAGGTAGGATCCCCCCCACCTACCGCTTCCGCTCATGCCCCCTAGCGCCCCTCCTGGGCCCCGTCGCGCTCCTCCCACGCCCCGTAGCGCCCCGTAGCGCCCCTCCTGGGCCCCGTAGCGCCCCTCCTGGGTCTCGTCGCGCCCCTCCTGGGCCTCGTAACGCCCCTCCCAGGCCCCGTCGCGCCCCTCCCAGGCCCCGTCGCGCTCCTCCCAGGCCCCCTAGCGCCCCTCCTGGGCCCCGTCGCGCTCCTCCCAGGCCCCGTAGCGCCCCGTCGCGCCCCTCCTGGGCCCCGTAGCGCCCCTCCTGGGCCTCGTCGCGCCCCTCCTGGGCTTCGTAGCGCCCCCCCTGGGCCCTGTAACGCCCCTCCCAGGCCCCGTCGCGCCCCTCCCAGGCCCCGTCGCGCCCCTCCCAGGCCCCCTAGCGCCCCTCCTGGGCCCCGTCGCGCTCCTCCCAGGCCCCGTAGCGCCCCGTCGCGCCCCTCCTGGGCCCCGTAGCGCCCCTCCTGGGCCCCGTAGCGCCCCTCCTGGGCCCCGTCGCGCCCCTCCCAGGCCCCGTCGTGCTCCTCCTCGGCCCCCTAGCGCCCCTCCTGGGCCCAGTCGCGCTCCTCCCAGGCCCCGTAGCGCCCCTCCTGGGCTCTGTCGCGCCCCTCCTGGGCCCCGTTGCGCCCTCCCTGGGCCCTGCAGCGCCCCTCCTGGGCCCCGTCGCATCCTGCCCGACCCTGTCGCAGCCGCCCGGCCCCGTCGCGCCCGCCCGGCGCCGTCGCAGCCGCCCGGCCCCGTCGCGCCCGCCCGGTGCCGTTGCACCCGCCCGGCCCCGTCGCGCCTGCCCGGCCCCGTCGCAGCCGCATGGCCCCGTCGCGCCCGCCCGGCCCCGTCGCAGCCGCCTGGCCCCGTCGCCCCTGCCTGGCCCCGTCGCAGCCGTCCGGCCCCGTCGCAGCCGCCCGGCCTCGTCGCACCCGCCCGGCCGCCGTCCTGCTCGCCCGGCCCCGTCGCACCGGCCCGGCCCTGCCGCACTCGCCCGGCCCCGTCGCCCCAGCCCGGCCCCGTCGCGCCCGCTCGGCCCCGTCGCCCCGTCCCGGCCCTGTCGCACCAGCCCGGCCCCGTCGCGCCCGCCCGGCCCCGTCGGGCCAGCCCCGGCCCCGTCCTCCTCACTGGTACGGTTCCCCCCCACCCCGCCCTGCTCCGTGCCGCCCCGCACCACACTGTACTGCCTGGAACCGCACTGTACCGCACTGTACCGCACTGCACCGCACTGCACCGCACTGTACCGCACTGTACCGCACTGCCCTGCATCGCACTGGACTGTTCCTGATGGCGGCGGAGCTTCGCTTCGACGCTGAAGGTCAGCCCCTAGAGTTCGAGGCGTGGCTTGCCGACCTCCGCCGCCAACTCACTGGCCAGCGGCAGGATGGTGAACCGCTTTCTGCACACCTTGACGGTACGCTCCCCTGCCCAGACCCCCCTGCTATTCTGTCCGCTGACCCCACACCCACTGAGCGTGAGTCTACTGCTGCCACTGCCCGTGCGCGCTCTGTCTGGCTTTCTCGCGATGCTGTCGCCCAGCTTGCCATTAGCAACGCCCTTCCCCCGTCCGAGCGCCCTCGCTTTAGGTCCCTCACTACTGCTCAGACATACTTAGATGCTGTGATCAAGCGCTATTCCACCCCTCCGGCTGCCTCGGTGGGTCGCCTGATCCTCCCGATGCTCTTTCCTGACCTTGCATCTTTCCCCACTGTCTCTGACCTCGCTGCCCACCTGCGCTCGATAGATGAGACCTGGCGCGCTGCCTGCACTGACACACAGCTTAGAGCCCACCAGCCGCCCATTACCTCTACCCTCTACCTGCTTGCCACCCGCCTCCCTGACCGCCTTGCTGTCGCCCGCGACCGCTTCCTTAGCATTCACCCCGCAGACCTCACCCTCACTGACTTTGTAGACACCCTGACTGTGATTGAGACCCGTCACCGCTCCATCGCCCAGGCGAGCGGTGTCGTGCCGGTCCCTATCTTTCAAGGTTGTGCCCCCGCTCAGTGCACCTTCTCCGACGGCTCTGCCGCAGTGGCTGAGACTGCTGCTGCAGCGCAGGTCCGTTCGGGGAAGGGCCGCCGCCCCAAGGCTGGGCGCGGCGGAGGAGGCGGTGGGGGTGCGGGCGGGGGTAGTGGTGGGGTCGGGTCGCCTGGTGCTGGAGTGGACGAGGGGACTCTGCCCAGTTCAGCTGAGTTGCCGCCCCTGCAGGTGCAGCAACCGCAGCAGCCGCCACAGTCGCAGCCTTCGCAGCAGCCGTCGCAGACGCGGCAGACGAGTGTCCTCCCGCCAGGGTGGCCCGGCGCTGGTGGTGGCCGGGCGCGTGGTGGTGTGCCGCGTGGTGGCTCTGGCGGCGAGCGTTGTCAGTACCAGATCCAGACCGGTCCTCGCCGCGGCTTCGTTTGCGGTAAGATCGGTCACTCCACTCCTCGCTGTTTTCGTCGCCTGGACGACCTCTTTCGTCAGCGCTTCGGCCCGTCGCCAGACCTCCCGGACTGGCACAGTTTGCTTAGTCGTCAGATTCAGATTTTTGATATGGACATGGATGCCATTGTTTCTGCTCTGCATGTGATGTATGCTGATGACTCTAGTGTGCTTCCTGCTTATTACTCACTGTTGCCTAGTGTAGGTGTGCCTAGCTTAGCCTCCCCTGCTGCGTCAGGCGTAGGATCCCCTGCTTTGTGTAGTCTTGGTGCTTCCGCCGTCGTTCCGTCGCCAGACCACTCGGCTTCGCTCTCCTTCACCTTGGACTCTGGCGCCTCTCGGTGTTTCTTCCGCGACTCCACCACCCTGACGCCGCTTCCTGTTCCTGCTGCCGTGTCTCTTGCTGACCCCTTCGGCGGTCCGGTAGTCGCCCGCAGTTCCACCACCCTTCCCTGTCCAGCGGTTCCTTCGGGCTCTCTTACAGGTCTGCATATCCCCTCGTTCTCCAGGAACCTAGTTGGTGTCGGCTGCCTCCAGGACCTTGGCGTCACCACTACGTTCCCTGGTCACGAGCGGTATGCTGTCTGTACCGAGGCCGCCACTGGTGCCCCCCTGTCCACGTTCCCCCGGGACCCGGTGTCCGGCCTGTTCACTCTGGACATCGTGCCCCCCCCGGCTGGAGCGCCCCCGCAGGTGGCTGTGTCTACCCAGGTTGCTGCTGCCTGCTCCTGTCGGTCCCTCACTCACCCGACCCTCCTGTGGCACCACCGCCTAGGTCACCCTGCGCTCCCGCGTCTGCGTCACATGTCCCAGCACGGTCTTGTCCTTGGTCTCCCAGGTTCCCTCCCCGCGTTTCCCTCCTCCCCAGCTCCACCTTGCACGCCTTGTGTCGAGGGTCGGCTTCGCCGTGCCCCTCACTCCTCCTCGTTCCCCCCTACCGCCGCGTCGCTGCAGACCCTGCACCTGGACGTCTGGGGCACCGCCCCCGTCCCTGGGCCGCGTCGCGAGCGCTACTTCCTTGTGCTTGTCGACGACTTCACTCGTTACACCACAGTCTTTCCCCTGGAGCGCAAGGCCGATGTGCCTGGCGCTCTCATCCCCTGGCTTGTCTCTGCGCGTGTGCACCGCGGTCTCCCTGTCTTGCGTCTTCACTCCGACCGTGGTGGCGAGTTTGCCTCAGGTGTCCTTGGTCGCTTTTGTCGTGCGGAGGGCATCACCCAGACGTTCACCCTACCGGACTCCCCACAACAGAATGGGGTCGCCGAGCGACGCATCGGTTTGGTCATGGAGGTCGCTCGCACCTCCATGGTCCATGCCGGTGCACCCCATTTTCTGTGGCCGTTCGCTGTGCGCTACGCTTCTCACCAGCTTAACCTGTGGCCGCACCCCCAGCAGCCGCAGGTTTCGCCGACCCGTCTGTGGACTGGGTCTCCTGGTGACGCGTCTGCGTTCCACGTCTGGGGCTGCCTTGCTCACGTCCGTGCCTCCGGCACGGACAAGCTCACTGCCCGCACCCTTCCCTGCGTCTTCCTCGGTTTTCCCCTTGACGCGTCCGACTGGCACTTTTACCACCCGCCGTCTCACCGCTTCTTTCACTCTCGTGACGTCACCTTTGACGAGTCCGTCTCCTACTACCGCCGCTTCCCCCACCGTGGTCCCCCGGTTACCCCCCCCCTGTTCCTGGTCACCCCTTCCCCGGTAGTCCCTGCCCCTCCTCCTCCTCCTCCCCGTCCCGCCCCCTCTGGTGTCTCCCACGTCACCCCCCTTCCGTCCGTGGACCCGGTTGAGGAGTCTTCTGACTCTGGTGGCCCTCCGGTGCAGTCCTCGCCGGCCGCCCCTCCCCAGTCCCCTCCTCCGCCGCCCCTGCCACCGCTGCAGCCGTCGCCGTCGCCGCCGCCGTCGCAGCCCCCGTTCGCTGACTCTGGGGGTGCTCGTCCCGGTCGCCCTGAGGGTGGTCCCTCTGGGGGTGCGGGTGTGGAGAGTGCCGGTGGTAGCCGAGGAGCACCTTGCGGTCCAGGTGTCGCCGTTGT